AACAGCAGCAGCACCGAAAAACACGCGGGCGGGTTTGTGGGAGGGGGAGATGCAAACAAACAAACAAACACGCAGCAATAGAAACAAAGGCGCATTCCTTCAGTTTACTTTTTCATCTTTTACTTCTTCTGCGGCCCTCGCCCGCATCTCGGCCTGCTGCTGCGCAATGGTGCGGGTGGTGCTTGTCACGCGCTGCATCGTCTGCGCCGCGGAGAGGCGGGCGAGGCGCCGCGCAATCGCGTCTCCGCCCGACACCCGCACCTCCTGCCCGTCCACGAGGTCCTGCAGCAGTGCCGTCTCCGCCTTGTGCGCGGCGGCGGCGGCGGCGGGCGACGACGAAGACGACGACGTTGGCGGCGGCTGCGGGCACGGGGCCCGCACCCGGTAGACGGCAGGCGCCGCCCCCTCCTGCTTTACCCCCGCCGCCTCCTCCTCCGCCTCCTCCGCCTCCAGCAGGGGGGAGATATCCTGCGCCGCGAGGATGTGCTTCTTTCCCGCCGGCACGCGGCTGTCGTACTCCGCGCCGAGGTAGAACGTCTCCGTGAGGCTCTCCTGCTGGTGAAAGAAACGCTGCAGGGCGGGGTTGTGCAGCACCTTCTCCGTCACGTACGTCTTGGCGAGCTGCCGGCGGAGGATCGCCTCCTCCACGGTGCCGCTGGCGATGAGACGGTAGACGCCGACGTCGCGCGTCTGGCCGATGCGCCACGCCCGCTCGCGTGCCTGCTCGTCCGTGACGGGGTTCCAGTCGGGGTCGAACAGCACCACGCGGCTGGCGCCAACCAAATTGACTCCAACGCCGCCCACGCGCGTCGTGAGCAGCGCAGCGACGATGCCGTCGTCTTCGTTGAAGCGGTCCATGAGCTCCTGCCGGTGGTGACTGTTCGTGCTGCCATCCATGCGGATGTACGTGAAGCCCTCCTGCTCGCACATGTTCTCAATGATGTCAAGCGCCATGCGGGTCTGCGAGAACACCAACACCCGCTGCCCCCCGCGCTGCCAGACCGTCAGCAGCTTCTGCAGCGTCTGCAGCTTCCCGCTGCCCGCGTAGTTTACCGGGCGGTTGCTGCGCAGCGAAAGGTGCGTCCCGCGCCGCCGCTTTGCCCTCGCCTCCACCCCATCATTCTCGTCGTCGTCGTCGTCGTCGAAGTATTCGCTGCCGTTCGCCGCCGCCGCCTGCCGCAATCGAAAAATGTCCACGTGGTTGCAAATCTGCCGCAGTTCATTCAGCACGCGGAAGGCCTCAAGACGAATGCCGCCGTGGTTTTGCCGCTGAAACAGCTGAAAGCGTCGTCCAGCGGTGTGCAGGCAGCCACTCGCGTCACGGCCGTCGCGATTCAACCCGCCCATCAGTTGCGTGTCCGTCAAGGTGCTGCTGAACAGCCGCTGCACACGCGCGGAGGTCAGCAGCTCCACGTACGCCTCCAACTGCTCGTCGCTTAAGGGGCAGCGTATGACGCGCTCGTACTTCTGCGGCAGCGCGTGGCTCATGATCTGCCGTTTGAGGCGCCGCAGCAGGTAGGGGGCGATGCGCTCGCGCAGTGCCTGGGCACACTCCACGGCGGTGGCCAACGCGAGGGGGGAGGCGCGAACGTCCTTGCTTGCGTTGATCGGCTCCTCAAACTCCCCCACAAACCTTGTCATGGTGCCAAGCAGGCCAGGCCGGACAAAGTCAAAGAGACACCAAAGCTCTTTCAGGGTGTTTTGAATGGGCGTCCCGGAGAGAATGATACGGTGCGGCGTCGGAAAAGACTTTACCGCGAGTGTCACGGTGGCCTCCGGGTTACTAATTTTATGCCCCTCATCCAATATCACATACTGAAACTTTGCCCTGTGCAGGAGTTGACAGTGTTGCCGCACGGCGGTGTAGGTTGTGAGAAGCACCGCCGGCGTCGCCTGGATGGACTCAACGAGTTTCTCACGACTCATTGTGGTGGCGCTGCTTTCGTGCATGACACATGTCCGGATGTATGGAGCCCATCGGTGCATTTCCGCCACCCACTGCCGCAGCACCGTCAAGGGGGCGACAATCAGGCAGGGACCACGCAGCTGCTGCGCATGATGCAGGGCGTTTAGCGTCGCCGCCACCTGTATCGTCTTCCCAAGGCCCATCTCATCGCCAAGGATGCCGCCTATCCGTTGCGTGTGCAGCTGCAGCATCCAGCTCACACCGTCTCGCTGATGCTCCAGCAAGCGGTTGTAAATGACGGCCGAGAGAGAGATACCAGGCACGAGCGACACAAACGTCTCCTGCCTCCCCTGAGACACGGAGTGAACCTCACCTCCAGTCTCACAGCTAACACCGCCACCGTGCATGATCACCTGCCGCACAACGTCTTCACCGGCGTCCTCATCCTCCTCTTCCATCAGTGCATCAACGTCGATCGCGTTGGCACAAGAGGTGCCGCTTCCATCCTTATCTCCGACTTCCTGCTTTACGGCGAGGGAGCCGGGGCCAGCGCCCACCTCCGCCTTCACCGTGCCAGCGGGGACCGTCGGGGCCAACTGTGAGGCCGCAATGTTTGCAGCAGCCTCCTCCAACCGCTTTCGTTTTAGCTGCCGCGCGTGGAACGCATCGAGGTCGCCGTCATCTGCGTACTTCCTAGACTTTGACCGCACATCTGAGCGCGTCAGAGTGACGCGGTAAAGTGAGGGGAGGATGGCGCCACCCGCGTACTCCGCGGGCGTCATCGTCGTCGCCGCATGACCACCACTACCACCACCACGAGACCGTGGCAGCTCCGCCGCCGCCCCTGATTGCGCCGTCGTCGCAGCAGTTTTGAGGGCCGCACGGGCGCGTAGCGGGAACTTCGTCTCCGGCCGCGTATTACTCACTGCCGTGAGCGGCGACGCGGCAGCCGTGAGGGATGCCAAGGAGGAAGCCACCTGCACGCCAGGCACGCGCCTCGCGGCCGCAGCATGCGCCTCACCCTTGGCACCCGCAGGGGCCACGGAGGCGTTACCGCCGTCGGAGGCACTCGTCGTTCTGCTTCGCTCCGCCGCCGCCGCCGCCGCCGCCTCCGACAGCCGCCTTCGCCGCTTTGCCTCCTCAACCCGCTTGCGCTGTCGCCCCTCCATCTCCACCTGCCAGCGACGCAGCAGCTTTGCGCGGTTCTCCACCTCCCTCTGTGCGTTCGCCAGGCGAAAATGCAGAACGGCGGCGGCGTTTTCCGCCTCTCTCCCCGCCTCCGCGCCCCCGCCCCCCGGCAACACCTGCAGCCCCCCTTTCGGCGCCGCGGCGGCCTGGCGCGGCCTCGCGGCCAACGACTGCAGCTCCGCGACGACGTGCTCCATCTCCTCCAGCGCCTCCCAGCGGCGGCGCAGCTCCGCCTCGTCCACCGCGGCCTCTGCGGCGCCGTGGGCGTCCACTGCCGCCACGACGTCCTCCCGCAGGGCCGACTCCTCCACCCAACTCACCCCCAACTGCGAGAGATCGTCGGCCATGCTTCTGAGCTCTGTCGTCGCAAGACACGCGCCGGATGCAAAGAGACAAAAAAGCGCGAGGGCGGAAACAAAGAGAGAAGCAAGCGCCAAAAAGAACCAACAAACAAATTTTTCCCAAACACCTCTGTCAACAACCGCAACAAACAAGCACACACCGACACGCTCAGACGCAGAGAGTACAGAATCCTTCACACGCACACACCCACACGTGTCAGAAACTTAATGATCTTACGACGAATAACCCTTCCTCGTTTGTCTTTTCCCGCTCCTTGAGGTGCCCACCTGGGCGAACAAAAATTCCTAGTAAGAAACAACCAAAAAAGAAAAAAAAAGAAAAAAAAGGGGACGACTGACCAGAAATAGCCAGCCTCCGGGAGAATTGCGTGCCCGTGACGGCAGCGGCCCAGTGCACCGGGTCTACTTGACAATGGGGTTGGCCTCGAAGTTGAGCTTGTAGCCGTTGGGCTCGCCCCCGACGAACAGCTCCGTCGCGAGAGGAGCGACCTGGACCTCGCATTTGAACTCGCCTGTCTCCTCATCCTTCTCCATCTTTGTCGAGCCCAAAGGCTCCACCTTGCTGTCCTTGCCGAAGGCCGCCTTCACCACCATGTTGTACTCCTTTGTGTCATTGTAGAAGGCCCACTGCTTCTTCTCGTCGTTGACAAGGCGGAAAAGGAGGCCGTTGCCGTTGTCCTTGAAGCACTTGACAACTGTGTTGCCCTCAAACGTGGGGGTGCCGTTCTCGTACTTGACTTCTGTCATTGCTCCTTGGCGAGGGGTATTGTTCTTCTCTTTAACCTATATCTGCGTAATGCGCGCTTTTGGCTTGCCGTGAGATCTGTGACGGGGGTTCCACAAGAGGGGCGGCAAGGAGCAAGAGGGAGAAAAGACACGAGGACAGGAATGGAGCCGGAGCAGCGGTGCCTCTTTACCACCGGCAGGCATTATTAGTTTAAGGCACCCTTTAAGCGTAAAAACTTTTTTTTTTGTGTGTGTGCTGACCCTCATTTCCTTCTTTTATTTTCGTTGCTCCTACCAGTGAAGGGGCCACATGCGGAGAGCTACTCGGCGTCACTCACGCGCATTGTCTTTCGTATTTCGTCGGGGAGCGTCTGCATCGCCGCCTTGTCCTCGTCCTCCAGCTGCTGCCGCTGCACGGGGCCCTCTGGCGCCGTGGCACCGTAGTCCTCTTCGCCCAGCGCCACCGTTGGGGGCATCTGGATGAGCGTCACCAGCGCGTTGCGGCTGTCGAGGCGCAGGGCATCCTTGAACACGACCGTGAAGAAGTGCGGGTAGGGCCGCAGGAGTTCCAAGAGACCCTTGTACTGCAGCCGGATCACCTCCTTCGCGCCGTAGGGGAGCCTGCCGTAGAGGTCAACCATGGCGCGCGGCGCCTGCTGAAGCTCCGCCGCGCACAAAAAGAGAAGCTCCGGCTCGGTGTAGTGTTGCCGCAGGACACCGGGCGGCAGCGGCACACCGGGGCGAATGAGATGCAGACGATGCCGGTAGCGGTACTCAAACACGCGTATTTTTTCTGGCGCCTGTTGAAACATGGAGAGCGGCTTGCCGGGGAGGAACTCTGCCAGGGACGGCGGGAGCGACCGCAGCAGAAAACTGAGCGAGATGGAGCGCTTCTGCGGCACGTAGCGAAGAATGGCGTCCAGCAGGACATCCCGGTCGGCGTATGGGCTGTCCGGGTCCTTCTCCATCGCCATGCGACGGCGTATCTTCTGGGCGGTGCGACGGTTGCGGCTTACGAGCGCCTCCTCCAGCTTGTCTTCGAGCGTCTGCGGCGTTCGCTCCGCGGTGCCCCGCGACGACACGGCCGCGACGAAGGTGTCATCCACCACGCAGAAGACGTCGCCGTGCGCCCGGAGGAAGTTCAGGAGGGTCCCGTAGTACATGATGATCTGCGTCTTGGCGTGGTCGGAGATGCGGTGGGAGGACTGCGCCAGGAGGTCCGCGATGCACACACGCTGCGTGCTGAGCAGCCCCGCCAGCTCCGACACCGCTGCCGGCGTGGGACTGTCGTGGTACGACAAACAAGTCACTGGGGCAACCCAGCACACCGCGCCCTCACCCTCCGGCGTGAAACTGAAGACGTGCTGCATCTGCGCAAAGAAAAGAAGCGTCTTGTACCGTTCCCACGGCAGCAGCGCACGGAGGAGCGGGGCGGGGGCTCCCGTGATAAGCCGGCGCAGCGGCACCCAGCGCGCGAGGGCAGGGAAGAGCCGGTGCAGGGGCCCACAGAGAAAGGGGTCAGGTTGATACTCCCGCCATCGCGCATGCGCCGCCTCGCCTGCGCCGTCACGTGCAAAATCCACCAAACGCTTTCCGCCGTGCAGTCGCACAAATTTCTCGCCTTCCAGCGTCACGATCTCCAGCGTCCCCGTGGCGGCGAATAGTTGCTCAATGTGCGCCGCCGTGTAGCCCTCTGGCAGGGCCGCGAGTAGTTCCTCCATGGGAATGAAGAAGGTTGGCACGTACGGCACAAGCATCTGCGGGGTGAACACGCCGCCTGGCACTTGACCCTTCTTCTTCCTCTTACTTGTCAACGCACGCGGCTCTGGCGGCGGCGGCGGCGGCGTGAAACACGGAAACACCGGTTTAAACACCTCAAGGAGCGACTCTGCCTCACACTGGCTGAAGCGCAGCTGGGACGCACGCACGGCAGCAAAGGCCTTCTCGGCCTCCTCACCACTGCAGGCCTTCACAACGTAAACCCCATCCTCAGAAACGTACACGCCCCAGTGACTAATCCTGTTCGTGGCCTGCAGCCTCCGCAGCCCGTTTGCAAGTGTGCCAAAGCAAGTTCTTAGCCAACGATGTGTGCCCTGATTGCTCTCGCGCGCGGTGAGGTCTACGGTGTCCAGTACCTCACCCAGCTTGGGTGGAAGGTTGCCGTACAACGTGGCGGTCCTTGTCACGCACGGGGCCGTGGCGATAAGCGGCGAAACCAGCTTAAAAAACATCTCCACCGTCGTCAGTTGTGGGCTTCGCGTTCTTCTGCCTCCATCTGAGGCGGGAGGCGTAGCACTTCTACTGGCGCCGCTGCTGCTGCTGCTGCTGAGTGCCCGTGCGGCGGCACAGACGGCTACGTGGCGTGTGGACAGAAAACAACCTACCCGCCTTGCCGCAGTGCGTCCCCCCACGCGCAGCCGCAGTCCTGCCGGCCCCGCACACCAGCGCTGGAGGGCAACGTGGGACATGCACGCCGCGGCGTATGCGCCTGCCCGCGCTGCGTGCCGCTTGTAACGGGAGAGTCTGAACTGCCACGAAGCTTTCCTTGGGATGCGGCGTCCCCACACACACACGCATGAAGGAGACCCCGCCTGGCGACAGAAACGCAACAACAACACCAGACGAAAAAAAAAAAACGATTGACACGGAGTTTACTCCATGCCGCCCCCTACTTCACAGGAGCCGAACGGCGAGAAGGCATCACGCACGACGACCCGGCACACGCAGGCACCCACACACAAATTGGGCAGAGGGAAATAAAAGGAGAGTGCGGGGGAGGGGCGGCGCGGCCCCCCTCAACCAAACAGGAACGCCCCGCACCCCCCTCCTTTTTTTCCCCCCTGTATGCGTGGGCCGCAGCACCACCGCTTGAACGCGAGGGCAGAAGGAGGCAAAAACAACGCAGCAGCGGAGGAAGACAACACAAATCCGCCAGCCAATGGGGGAAAAAAGAAAGAAAAAAAACGAGGAATAAGCCTCTTCCCCACTTTTTTTTTTATCCTCCCCTTTCAATTACATCTCGGCAGCCGCCTCGCTCGCCAATTTTTTTAGTGACGCCTCCAGCACGCCGCACTTCCCCGCAAAGCGACGCAGAATGACGTTCTGCGTGTACAGCACGCGTGCCTCACACAGAAGCTGCTGCACCTCCGCACTGTCGTCGCACAGAGCCCGGTGATCCTCCCAGAGGTGCTTTTCTAGTTCCAGCTCCACCCCCAGATGCAGCCGCGGCACCGTGGGAGGCAAACTCAGTAGCAGCGCCTCTGCAAAATTACTGAGCGCCCGATTTGCCACCGTACTGCCACCGCCGGTCGGTTTATTGTTGGGTCCAACGACAGGGGGCGGGAGAAACCATCCCGCCTGCACGCAGAGCCGTAGTCGTTCACACTGGAGCGGGATGCGGGAGACCTCTTCCTGCACACCCTGGTAACTGTCCTCCCCCATGGCGTCCAACGCAGACTGGTGCTGCTGTTGCGCTTTGCGGCCCTTCGCCAACCCTCTCGGTCTGTCAGATGCAGACCGCCTCCCTAGAGATCTTCCACCTTTCGCGCGACAGACTTCCTCGTCCTGTTGAACAGCAGCCGCAGTGCCATTCGTCAACACCCGCAGCTTGTCAAACAGCACCGCTGCCTGGCTAGACACGCGCTGTTCCGCCATGACTGCCCTAAAGTAAGGCACATTCATCGTTGCTTCGTGCGTGAGGAACTCACGCAGTCGTCTGCGGCGCGACTGCTCCAGCAGCCCATCGTACCAGAAGGGCGACGCCGGAGGTGGTGGGAACGACGACGGGAAAAGCGACACGTCCGCCTTACCGCCGTTTCCCTTACACGCAGCCTGACTGATCGGCCGCCGTGACGGCGCTGGCGACGCGGAGTACGCGGTGGAGGACTCCACACATCGCTGCATCACCTCAGCTCTGTGCCTGGCAAGCATGCTCGCCTCCTCGGCCGCTTCCTCGTGCGGCGACGGCACGGGGTCGGCGCCTCCGCTGAGCTCCTGATACCTTTGCGTGAGCCACTCCTGCCGCCGCCGCCGGGCCACCAGCACCGGGTGCTTCTCCATTAGCGAGATGAGTGGGTGGGTTGACGCCGGGGCGCGCTCTCCCGTCGGACTCACGCCCACCGCCACACGCTTGTGGGGCTTCGAGCTGCAGGAGGGCGACAGGGCGGCGCCACCGCCGGCCTTCGCGCCCTCCTCGTCCTCCAGGGCCTCCTGCAGGCGCCGCAGCCGGTGGCACAACACCGCCTCCGAGACGAGTTTGTATCGCTCCATCAACACCTCCACGGGCGGGGCGGCGTGCGTGGAGGTCGCCATACTTCCCGCCGGCGTGTCGCGGGCGCACGTGTAGCGCCACCGGTCGGCGACCACCGCGAAGTTGCCAAACTGCTCGTAGAGCGCCAGCAGCTTGCACGTGGACGCGAAGTCAAACCTCCAACGCTCCGTACCGGCGTCGTTGGCGCCCTCGTGCGAGAGCACAGCTGGTTGGTACGCGTCACCGCCCAGTCCCATCGCCGCGTACTCCTCGGCGGAGACGGTAAGAAATGCAAAGGGCGAGGGCTCGGTCGAGGCATGGAGGACGGAAAGTTCCACCTCCGGAGGGACAGATAGGTGCTGCGCCGCCAACCACGAACCTGGAAGATCCACGCGCCCGCAACGACAATCACCGCCGCCACCGCCGCAGTGGCCATCAGTTTCCCTGTCTTCCTCCTTTTCTGCCAGCGCCGCAGACATGAGGGCATTCTCTACGAGTAACGCATCCGCCCGCACCCAGCGATAGCCAGAGGCGCCAACCCGCGGCAACCCCGCTGGCGACGAGGCACATGGACCCGCTGTGTCCCTCGACTGCGGCGCTACGGCGACAAGGCGCCGCTGGACAAGGGACCAGCGGTGCATGGGCGGGACCACCGCACCAAGGGCCACACCTTCACCGTTTACTGCCTCGGCTGTTCCTCCGCCAGACGCCGCGGTGGGCAGCACGACACCGAACATGTCGGGTAACGCAGGTAGTTTGTGTGTGCCTGCCCCACCTGCCCCGCCGCCGCTGCCGCCCGCCAACGCATCCATGGAACGTTGGCCTACCGCGAGGGTCTGCTCAAGGTGGTGCATTTCCTCCGCGCTGCTAAAAAAACGATGATTGTGCATGAGCTTCGCCGCCTCGCCTTTTAGGCCCTTCAAACGTTTCCCATTGCGGTCGTAAAGAAACGAGTCCCGCGCGCGCTTCTGACGGGTCACCGAGGCAGCAGAAGTCGTGGTGCCGGGATCAGGAGCCAGCGGCTGCAGGATGGAGGACGCCAAGCACTGCCGCTCCATTGGACTACCCGCCCCCCCTTTTCTTTAGTATTCCCAAATTCACCACCGCTCCCCGCCCCCCGCCGCTCAACAGGACCTTGCCGCCGTGTTTTCAACGCAGGTGCGGGCACACGAGTAGCCAGGGAAAAGAGAGAGGAAGAGGGAGAGAACGAGAACGAGAACGAAGGCGCGTGGAGGGACGCGTCACACAAGTGCCCGCACGCACGTACAAAGGGTAACCACCGTTCACTTTTTGCTCCACAATACACGTATATATATATTTACACACACACGTATGCGCAGATATTATGTTCCACACCTCCTTCCCCCGGCCCCGGTTCCCAGAGAAATTGAGGGAGAAAGAAAAGGCAGCGGCCCCCCACACGCAGCGACAGGGCCAAGAAAAAAAAAGGAGGGACGGGGGAAGTGGGGAACCAATGAAAAGGAAAACAAAAAAACAAAATCGAAATAACAACAAAGGGGAAAAAGTGGCAGAACATAACACACACGGGGGGCGGACCCAAAGAGAGGGAGAGCGCAGGAACAAAATCGGCCTGCCGCCTGCCGCCTTCCCCCTTTTCCATTCTTCCTTCTTCCAGCAGCCACCAGGTTGTGCAGTTTACGCGCGACGCGCGAACTTCTTCGGTGGCTCGCTCTCCAGGCTCGTCGAGCTGCCCTGCGAGTGTGCGAGGGAGGCGCGGGCAGAGGATGGCCGCTTTAGCATGCTGCTTGCTGCTTTGTGCAGCAGCTGGGAGGCCACCCTCTGCGGGCTTGTGTCCATCAGCAGCAGCTCCGGCGATCGCGTGGAGGCGGGCGGTCGCTGCGCCCCCGCCGTGTCATCCTCCACGGCGTCCTCGTCGACTGTCGCCATGAACTCATCCGGCACGGACGCAAAGGAGAAGTCCTGAGTCTTGCGCCAAGCCATGAATCGCTGCACCATGCGATCCTCCTCACTCACCGGCGGTGAAGCCGTCTCCCGCGTCGCCGTGTCATCGGTAGGCGCCTCCGTCGCATTCTTCTTTGCATCTCCGCCACCAGCGGTGCCCGCCTCGCCATCCTGCTCAATCTGATACCTGCGGGCCAGCTGGGCACGCACCTCGTCATCAACGATCCACAACCCGCCAGACTCCAGCAAATTTCCTCTACGATCAAGACGCTTCTCATTGGCAATCCCACGCAGTCGATCGAGCTTGTTCCGCTCATAGTTCTTTAACGTAATTTGTGCGATCTTTGTCATGTACGCACTTCTATTGTCGTCGCTTACGTAGGCGTAGAAACTCTCGGCGTCGCGCTTACTCTCCTCCCAGCGTTGCAGCACCTCCTGCGAAAGCAGCGGCGAGGACTCCAGTGGCGTGCCGGGCGGCAGCGGCGTGGCGGTGAGGTCGGCAAGCGAGCTTCCGCTGCCCCAGAGTCCCTGCGGCTGTGCAGGGCTTTGCGGTGTGGCCGGGGAGTTGGCGCGGCCACTGAAGCTCAGCTGCGTCGAACTGCGCCGCTCCATTGCGGTGGCGGTGTGCCCCGTCACGTGTCGACTGGACGCAATGCCAAGCTCGGTCTCCAGCCGCATGTTATGCAGCGACGTCACGGTGAGCCGAATCGGGGCGCTGCAGGCACCCACGCGGCCCATGCGTTCATTCTGCTCCCGCATCGCCTCCACCTCCTCCGGCGTCCAGCGGTGATTGACGATGTGCGTCTGGCGAAACGCCCGCATTTCCGCCATTTCCCTTGCAGTGGGCAGTTGCGCCCGCGCGGTGACCCCCGTCACGTCGTCGGCGTCCGCCTCCCCTTCCCGCCGGGCCCCCGCCCGCAGCTGCGACTCGGCCCGACGGGCGCAGTAGTCCATCACCTCCGCCGCCGTCGGCAGCTTGCTGGAGAGGCGCGGGAGCTCCACACACTTGTCCTCTCCCTCCACACGCAGCGCGATGAAAAAAAACTTCTCCTTCCACGACAGCGGGGCCACCGTCGGCGGCGGCGGCGTCGTGGTGGCGGCGTCGGCGTCGGCGGTGCGCGGTGGGCGGCGGTCCACCACCTCCAACAGGCGGGACCAGCGGTGCTGCGAGGGGTCGTCTTTGCTCGCGCGGTAGCGCACGAAGAAGTGCAGCGGGAACTCGTTGAGGCACCGCTTAAAGTACGGCGCGTCCCCGTACTCGTACACAAACGGCGACTTGAGCGTGAGTGTCGCAAGCTCCTCCGTCGACAGCATCCTTCGCCTCGCCTCCACTTCCACAGGGACAGACAGAGAGAGAGAGAGAGAGAGCCAGCGAGGCAAGACACCCACAGGCAGCCTATTTGTTTCTATAGGAATGTATACGCCCGTATGCACGTACTAACTACACACACACACACACACACACACTGTGAGAGGGATAAATGCGGGTGCGGGTGCGGGTGGCGAAGCCCCTCCTCCCCAAGTAACAACGGGGAAACCAGAGGCGGCCGGCCGGACTGCGTTCCCTTGCACGGTAGTCCCTCCCCCCTCCCCGCCCAGCGGATCGCTCCCTACACCCTTTACTTATTTCTTTCTTTTGTCGCTTTTTCACTCCTGCGGCTTTTCCTCGGCGCTGCGCGGCCCACGAAGAGGGAAGACACAGAGGGAGACAGAGCTCGTCTGCACGTGCGCACGCGTGTGTGTCTGGGCACAGAGACCGCGGGGCGGCGGAGGAAGTCTCGCGGACACGGCGCTTCCCCGGGCCCGCGGGGCGGACCCGGAGGCCCGCACACGCAGCAGAGGCCGGCAGCACGCGAAAAGTACAAACAAAGTACACAGCGGAAGAAAGGGGGCAAAACAAAAAAAAACAACAACAACAACAAAACAGAAACAAAACAAAACAAAAGAAAAAAGGGGAAACAACAACGACAACAACAAAGGAGGAAAGGGCAGATTCAAGATAACAACAAATACCTCGACACGAACGCCGCCCGTTCGCCGCCCAGAAAGCGCCCCGCACAGCACCCACACTTCACACATCGCCTTCGCTCGTGTTCCTCGCCTCGGTGCTCACCCAATCACGGCACTGCCGCCAGAGGCGGGAGCACAACAACAACAACAAAAAAACGGAAAATCATAAAAGAAAAACCCAAGACACGACACAACAACTCGGAGAACGCGAAAAACAGAACAAAACAGGGGGGTGGGGGGAACACGTGGGTCTTAAGAATGCACGCGGCAAGGTCTAAGTGGGTGGTGTGTGATATTGTGCCACAACGAAGGCAGATGTGTATATACATACATGCATACATACATATATATATATGCATTCATCTCTCTCTATATGCGCGTATACGGGAAGATGGGCGTAGATAAGATGAAATACAATTTTGGCACGCCTTTACGTCTCTGTCCCTGTATTTCGTTTTCATTCTCCTTCGTGCTGCTGGTTGCCTCCTCCAACCCACACTCTTTCCTCTCACGCTCCTCGCTCTCCCTCCCTCAAAGCAACACTGACGTTTGCATTCACTCACTCCTTTTACATCCTCCTCCTTTTTTCTCTTTCCTTCTCTCTCTCTCTTTTTTTTCCGCCATTCTCTTCGCTTCTGTTTCTGCCGCCTCCCTGCACGGCGGTCGCTCTAGCGCGTGTGTTATATGCGGCCGCGCAGGCGCCGGCCCCCCACGGCCTCGGCGACAGGTGCACAGACACACACGGAAGGACGACCGAGCGCCACGGAACGCGGGCGAAGGAAAGATACACGCCGCGCTGCACCACAGCCACACTGCGTGCCCCCACGCAAATCGTTTTTTTCCCCCTTCTCCGGCACTTTCCCCTTCATTCGATTCCCGCGCGCGCGCCCTCCCTCCGTCTTTACAGTCGTACAGCAGTGAGAGCGAGCCCCCCGTCCCCCGCCCGCCGCTTCACTCCGACGCCGTTACTGGCGTGCTTCCTCGGCCCCCCTCCCCCCACTCACGCGGCTGGGCGCCTCAAGAGCGGCGACGGGCAGACCGCGCGGAGGCGTGCGTGGGGGACGGCGGGCGGGGGAGAGAAAAGGGGGCGGGCGCCACACAAACGGCGGCGCCTCAATGACAGATGCACACACACACACACACAACAAAAACACACACACACGCACACAAACAGAAAGGCAGACACGCGCAAAACACAAACAAACAAATAACCAAAAACACCAGCAACAACACCGAAGTAAACGAGGAGGAGAGGGAAGAGGGGAAAAGGTAAGCAATTAGGAACATGAGCAAATAAAAAACAAAATAAAGTGGATCAACCGCACAAGCACAATACAAATGAACAAACAAACGAAGAAGAAGGCCGACGAGAAGCCGTTTCCTCGACATTGACACACGCCCGCTTTCTCTCACTCTCTCTCTCTCCTTATCATTTCGCAGCTTCCTGCCCTTGTCCCTCGCCCTCTCACGTCTCCGCCCCAACGGCGACAAAGCCAAGGAATGAGCCAGCGAGAGGGGAGACCAACAAGTCAGGGAAGCCCCCCCCACACACACACAGAGAGAGAGAGAAAGTAATATGAGTAGATGCTGTCAAGTAGGGAGAAGCATGCCTTCTTTTCGTCCTTGGCGGCTGTCGTCCATTTCCCTCTTTTTCATGGAGATTGGTTTACATCACATCACACACAGCGTGGATGGTAGAGACCTGCAGTCACGAAGACCAGGAAGTGATAAAAGGCGAAGGTACAGCTAGTATGTATAGAAGTAAATATTTACATAGCCTCATACTCACTCACATCGCATCTAAACCGATGAAAAAAGAAAAGAAAAGAAAACCACACACACACACACACACACACACACACACACACACAGACACACACACACACAGACACACACACACAGACAGACATTCACACACAGATAGAGAGAGAGAGAAGAAAGAAAAAAACAAGAAGAAGAGTAAAAGGACAGCCCCAAAAACGACGACGCCGACGACGGCAACAACAAAAGATTCATTTGCACGTGCAACTGGGAGCAGTGGGTGTGCCTGCAAATATGGACATCGTCGTTTTTTTTTGTTATTTATATTCACTTTAGTTTATAGCCGTCCCGGCCCCCGTCTCAGATAAACTTCTCTTGATTTTTTCTTCCTTTTCTTTTCTTTTATTTTGCTTCCCAAATTTCTTTCCTCTTCCCAGCCCACCCCGTGTGGCGGAACGAGACAACCACGCACACCATTACGCATTACATACGTGCAACATATACGCACAAATAACGCACGTAAGCGGTGCACGTGTAGTACTGGCGGCACGCAGTGGACCCGGCAAGTGACTCACATGCAAGCAGGGACAGAAACAAACAAGGAGACAGAAAAACAAAACAAGAGAGAAAGAGAGAGAGAGAGAGCGAAGAAAAAAAAAAGGGACAGTTAGAAGGGAGCGTTGTCCTGCCGCCATGCGTTCTCTCATCCAGAGTTTCCCACGGAAAAAAGAAAAAAAAAGAAGAAAAAAAAGGAGTAAAAAAAAGAACCAAAACAAACAAACGAAAAAAAAAAGAAAGAAAAAAAACGCATGCTAAACATTTTTCATCACCATATAGAGCGACCGCGTCCTTGCCACGAGGAGACTGAGCCAAACAGTGCATGCCTCGTCCCCGGTGCCCCGCGGGCCGTGTGCGAGCCTCCGTCAAACAGCGAGCTACCGAATGGGGGTCCTCGACTCGGGGCGCTGAGGCGCGGCGACACGGCCTGGGCGGGGAGGGGGGCCGCGACCGCGCCCACGGGACGGTCAAACCCCGCCACCACTTCGGCCACGTCGTGGAAAAACAACAACATCACCGAGACGTTGTCCGTGCTGCCGCGATCCACGGCGAACTCTGCGAGCTTTTGGCAACAATTGTTAAGCGCACGCTTCGTGGCCTCCGGCGAGGAACCCACATCTGGCGTGTAACTTAAGAAGTCTCGCACGAATTGTGTGGCCTCCTCGTTTTCTACTACATCCCACAACCCATCACAGGCCAGCAAGAGAAATTTGCTGGAATCGGTCAAGTTGATTTGGCGAACATCGGCCACATTCGACACCATTAGTTCCCGGTTTGCAATGAATCTATTGCCGTTGAACTTAAATTCGTAGTCCCCTAAGGCACGACTCACGGCAAGTATGCCACACACCCTACCAAACTGGACAAACCCGCCACACTGAAGAATACGTGTATGCTCTCTTTTGGTGGTGGGCTTGTGATCCTCGCTCATGGGGATGGTTGTGTTACCATCGTACAGCACCGCCCTGGCATCGCCCAAACAGGCCACGTACAGCATTCGCCCATGGACGGCGGCGGCAATAAGCGTGGAGCCACCACCACTGCCGCAACTAGCACCAGTTCCACCACATGTGCCTTTGCCTAGGGCATGAAAAATGGCTCGATCTGCCTGTATAATAGATTCTACAAAAGCTAATGCATTGTTCTCACCAAGGGCTGAGTGAGCGATAAAGTTATCCGGTACATGCTTTGACGCCAACTCAGCCACCCGACGACCACAGTGACCATCAAGAATGCCAAGCAAGGACACCGGCTGCCCCGCCGCTACAGCTGCATTCAACCGCAAAAAGTGTTCATCCTCCATTGTTGGACGCAGTCCCTGAAGACTACCCACGCCAACTGTGAGTTTGATGGGGGAGTTAAAAGTCTTCCCTGTACTAGCCACGACTCGAAAGTCGTATTGAAGAATATTGCTTTTGTTGGCGCCGTCTTCGGGGGCACCAGCGGACAATTTACCACCATTTGCCATTGTACCACCTTGACTGCCGTAACGCGAGGGAGCGGCACTTGGCTCCGACGCCATCCGCGGAGACGATGTTGGCGGTGGTAAGGCTAATTGCTCCAGCTTCACAGGCGCCAGCGCAAACGGTGACGACGTGTCCTTGCCCCACCGCGTCCCTCCCTCATCTGGCTCAGAGGAGGCCCGCCGTGTGCCTACACCGTTAAGGACGTGCGTGGTAGCAAATGGATCCACGGTGTCATGTGAAAGCCTATTGCCTTGACGCAAGGGCACAGGTGCGATCTCCAAGACGTTTTTAGGCTTAGAAAACGCACCTGGGGGTCGCGGTGGCACCGGCGACAGCTGCTGGTTGCCATTAGCGTTCAGGGCAAACTGGATCGGACGCACGCTGAACTTCGGACCCCCGCTTCCTGGTGGGTGCGGCCGGTACTGCCCGCCATCGCCGCCGCCACCTCCCTGATTTGCCAGAACGCGCGACGACGGTGGTCCTGAAAACACCTTCCGTGTGGCACCGCCGTTGCCTGCGCGGTCTACACCCATGAGAAGCGACCCCCCAAAGACGGCCGCCACATTCTCACTGGAGTTCCGCTTCGTACTAGCCTTCAACTGCATGCGTCGCCCTACGGGCCCACGGCCGTTTCCACTACGCATTACCCCGCCAGCGGTGGGACTAACACTCTCTTCCTCCTGTCCAGGGGAGATATTGCCGCTGCTGCCGTTGCGAGGGCCGGGTTCGTCGTTTTTGCCCTGTGCAACGCTCCCCGCAAAAAGCGAATTGGTAGTCTGATACGGCAACGCGCCTCCGCGTTGCGAGTTGAGCGCTAAAGGATTGCCACTGCCACGTCGGGCGTAGTTGCGCGGAGGGACGGGCCTAGGCACACTGGGAATGGCACCACGCGACGTCTGATCCCCCGTCCCCGCCTCGTTTCTGCGCAACGCCGTGGGTTTCGCCCCTCCCCTGTTGGAAGCAAGCGGTGGCTTTCTAACTGACATGCACGCCACAGTCAGTCTTCCTCAGGAGGATGCCCCAACGCCACCACGGAGAGAGAGAGAGAGAGAAAGGGGGAGGAATATGAGTGGGACAAATCTTTTTTTTCTTATTGTTCTTGTTCTTCCTTCCTCCCTGCCCTGCTTCTCAGTGAATCACCCTTGTGGTCTCCTGTTCCCTGTGCCTGCCGCTCAATCCTCTCCCCTTCCTGTTTTTTTTGCTTCCGTTCTGTTTTGTTTCCTTTTTTTGCTCGCTCCCACCTTCGCTCCTCCCCCTGAATGGACGTGTAGTTGCCGAGTCAGTCAGCGACGGCGTGAGAGAGAGAGGGGAAAACGGGGTTGTATGCTGCGGTATGTATATATATATACTG